TTAAACTTAAATTAAATTATAATAAAAAATCAGTTAAAAAATTACATAAATAATGAGAACTTTTAAAGAGTTGATTTGATATTAACATTGATATATTTTTTTTAAAATTTTATGATATTTTCAAATTTATATTTTATTCAAAAATAAAATCATTATTGTTTTCTTAAAAACAAATAAAATCGTATTATAACATCGACATAGACATATAATAAAATAAAAAATTAAAATCGAGATGTATTTTTTTGCATCACACGAATACTTTTCTCGTGTTTTAAAAATGGATAAGTTCCAAGCAATCAACACCCCTATTAAGGAGGTGCCATTAGCACTCCCCTATATTAAACATATAATATAAAAAAGATAAGAATGCAAGCATTTTGCTTTTTTAAATTTCCTCTTTTATTCAAAAATAAAGAGATAAAAAAGAAGTATATTCCACGTGGCACTAGCCCATTTTTGAAAATCAAACTTGTGCTTGCGGGATTTTGGCTGCACTTGCACTTAAAGTCTACACCCCCACTACTCTTCTTTATCCCCTACCAGTCTTCATTGCATAAAAAAAAGGCATGTACACACCACCTACGTTCCTCCACCACCGACGATCGACCGCCAAACCTCTCCTCTGATCTTCTCGTCGTCTCCGTTCACTGCGGTAGCAAGCTGCACTCACTCCCAAACAAGGTATTCTCGACGTTATTTTGATTTTCCTCTTCGAATTTTCATCTCTACATTCCTTTTTCCTTGGCAATAAGCATGTTTTCCGCTAAATTCGACAAACTCGTCGGACTTTTTTTCCGTTTGCCGACTAGAGTATGTATGCTTCTGTGCTGATTGAAGAAGGATTATGTTAGTAGGGAGCGAGAACTTTCACCAAAGGTGTATACTCAAATCACTTGTACCGGACAACTGAATAAATGCAAAATTTTGAGAACAATTTCTGGATTCTATTTGTTTTTAACGGATTAGTAATTTTTCTGTGAAGATGAGCGTCTAAGTTTGTGATTTTTGATATTTTAGGAAGAAAGGATGTAACTGATTAAAGCATTGAGATCTACGCCACAATACCGTTTATTTGTCGTTCATTCTTATTCTAATTCTTCTTCTCCATCTGCAATAGTTGGTTTGGAATCCATATGCATTTGTGGATTATATATATTTAATTGTTGTTGAAACTTGGAACGGTTGGTATGGTGTTCATTAAATGTTGTAACTGTTGTCCAGGGTTACTCCAACCAAGCCACCATCGCTTCGTCTTCATTTACCGACACAAAATAACTACTTATTTAATCGATTATGTATGTAACTTAAAAGTAAAATTCTACTCAATTATTTTTCATCTGGTGTAATCGTACAATAATTTTTATAATTTCTGACTTGTAATTTTTGGAAGCATTGTTTCCGACACTTCGCAGGTGTTGATAGGGCCGGCTGATATGATGTTACCTGTAACGTACTCAGGCTGTAACGCCTTAGATGGAATGTCATCTTCGTCGTCCGCGGAACAATCTCGACGGAGCAAAAGCAAGTTCATCACTAAGCCTTCATGGCTTCTGCTCTCGATTTCTGGTGCGGGCCCTTTCTCTCAAAGCATCCTTTTACATTTTTGTTCACTGATTTCGAAATAATTGCCAATTTTTGCTTTCTTTTTAATATTAGTTTCTTGGAAACTGGATTCGAAAAGTTAGAAAGTAGAAAAGTTGAATGAAAATAAATTGCAGGGTGGGGTTTGGGGGACACATTTTTCTCATAGTTATCCTACTAGCTAATGATTAAGTTAATTAACAAATGTTCTCTGTTTTTAGGTTATTTTTCTAGCATCATGAACTTTTTTATTTGATATTTTTGGATTTTGATAAAATTAATACTCTTTAATATACTTTTAATTACTCATTTAAATAAATAAAAGAAGACTTTTTTTGACTGATTAGGTATTGAAAGAGCTGTTTTAGAAAATATATGATTAGATTACTTTTTAAAAAGATTTGTTACAATGAAGAGTGAGGCATTTCAAGACTGCTGCTCGTTACAGTCATTAGACAATAAGGAATTTGTTATTGAGTAGCATCCGATGCTTTCAAAAATAAATGTGAGAGAAAAAATAGGTGGGTGCATTAAATTTTCGATATACCCTCTGGAGTTGGACAAAGCATTTTTTTGAAAAGCAAACATATCATGTGATGTGATCAAGGGCTGGGATTTTCTGAAAATAAATTATTTTGTTGAGTTGGAAACGTCTTCTCATTATGTCTGGTGACTCGTCCTATGAGTTCTGAAGTTCCCTATCAGCAGTGTCTATAACAGGACACTGCCGACTGCAATGCTATGAATCACTCGCTTTTTACCCTACTTTTACCTGCTTTGTTTTTAATGTTGGTTGTTTGCCTTTATTTTCAAATATTTTTGAATCGAACAGATATTTTTCAAATAAAAAATGAAGTTTGTATGTGTTAATTGAATTCTTTTTCTATCAATTTCATTTTTATACATATCGATATCAAAACCAAATAATTGACCACAAGGGTGGTGCCTGATTGGTTTGAGCTTGGCTCCGAAGGTCAAAAGTACCCGGAGGTCTCGGGTTCAAATCCAAGGGGGTTTTTATTCCTCCTTGGATTTGAACCTTCGTGGCCACAAGGGGATTTTTATTCCCCCTTGGATTTGCAAAGATGACTCCGAACTATCTGCAAAGTAGGTGGTCGTCCTAGGATTAGTATAATTACATGAGCGGATAATTAATATTATTGGTTATACCTGTCCTTTATGCGTATATGATGGTGACCTTGGACCTTGGTATGTATGAGGCATTTTGTATAAGTCTAGATACTAAACAGAAGGTTTTTTTTTCTTTCTTAAGAACACACAAGGACTCATGGTTTATATTTCGTTTTGGAGGAGAACCACAATATTTGTGCCTTTCTTTTGTTTGAAACCATTTTTAGCATATTGAGATCTTAAGATTAAGCTGAAAAACGAGCTTTTGATATTTTTATGAGAGTGAGGCCGTATTTTGAGCCTCTTGGTAATTGGTATTATCATATTTATTAGTGAAGGATTGTAACCGATTTTTGTTAGGAAAAAACTTAAATCATTGCTAGTAAAATTTGAAAACTAGTCTTGGAGAGTTGGAGGACGTTGGTAAAAGCAATTATTTTTTCAGCTGTTGGAGAGAATCTTGTGTTTATGGAAGGGAAGGGGGATTTTGAATAGATTTAGGAGGGAAGTGATTTACTGGGCTGTACCCAAAGATTTTATTTACGAATAGTCACTTTCATCCTTTTCTTTTCTTTTCGATTCCAAAAGTAGTACAACTCCTTACAAGAGGAGCTGTCAATGACTCAAACTCTCATTATTATTCTTGTCTTCTGAATTTTGAGAAGTGTTTGTGTTTTCAAAATTTGAAATTCCCCTTCTTTTTGGCTTTAAATCGTGCATATAATTCCTTCACAAAAACAAATATATTAATGCAAATAAACAAGAATATTTAGACAAACAGAAATTGTTTACTTACCCCTTGTTATTGTTAATCATCCTCGCTAACATTTCTTAACTTGTCATTTAGCTTTTAATCCAATGGCTAGCGAAGAGGTCACTTGTAGGCTAACAACTTGCTTATGAGCTAGTTTGCATAACATAACCCTTAAATGATTATTTTATGACAAAGAGAGTATAAATTATTATGAAATTAGGGGAGTAAAAGAATTTATTGGGATTATGTACGTTTTTTGGCCAAGCAGATTTGGAGGATAAAATACAAGCAATCAACGGAGAAGAGAAGCCAGACACGTTTGGCGAACGTGCAGACTTCTACTACCGGAAACGCCCTGAACTACTAGCCTTACTCCAAGAGCTCTACAATCGTTATCTCTACTTGGCTGATCGTTACACTCGAACGCTCTCTAAGCAACAATTACGTCATCATGAAGTAATATGCCCTCCTGTAGATGATAATAACAACACCAATGCTGATTATTCAGACGATGCTGAAAGCTCACTCTCTTACCAGCCTCCAGCCGATACGCAAAAACCCATTGCGTCCGAGCTGGTAATATCAGAGCTTGTGATGAGATTTGTGGAGTACGAGATCGTGGTGGATGAGGTGCAATCTTTGGATATGATTCAGGTATTCTTTTTGACGCACTACATTTGTTATAATTGGACCATTTCTCATAAATATATGTTGGAACCTCCATTCTTTTCTATTTTGAAGAGTAATCTCAAGGTTTTATATATATATATATATATATTCTTACATGGTATCAAAGTCAAGAATTACAATTTTGTATGACAATTTCTAGCCTCTGTTGTAGTAGGTTAGAGTCTCACAAACATATGGTTAGAGTTTGTGAAAATTGTGTGTATGTGTTGCAGGAAGAGTCTAAAAAGAAGATAGAGTTACAGAAAAGTTTGTTAGAGGTGTTAGAATCGGAGCGTGTGGTACTAACAAACGAGAACAGTAGGCTAGCGTCAGAGTCATTGTTCATGAAGCGTAAGGCAGGGGAGCTGGCACGATGCGTGTTGTTGGAAAGGAGCGAAGATCAGCGTGTGTTTGTGCTGAGTCGGAAGATCGATGATCTGCAAGGGCAGATATACGAGTTGGAGAAACGTAACAAAGAGTATTACGACAAGTTAAAGAAACAGCATGAATCATCAGAAGGGAAATCAGGTAAGAAGAATATAAAGAGGTTAATGGTGAAGAGCAATGGTGGTGGTGGGAGTAGCAGCAGCATTAGTTGGAGTGGTGGTGAAGATGAAACAGGTTGTTCGATGAGCAGTACAAGTAACAGCAGCAGCACATGTACAAGTCTTGCTCAGGTGATGAAGGAGAAGAAACATCCAGGTGGGAGTGGGAAGAAGGTGTATGGGTGGTGGGACCGAGTGAAGAAGTTTGACATGTTCATGTGTGGACCACATCTTGATGCAACTTGCTGTTAGTTGCTGCTGGGTTGGTAATTAGTAATTACCATACTTATTAATGTTTGATCTTTTGTTCAGATAGTAGTCTCTCTCTATATATATAATATAGCTGTAGTCTGTAGGTATGATATGGAGTCGCCTCTTTAATTTGGTTACCTACTTGTGTTAAAACAGAAGAAGAATAGTAGTTACTCGTATAAGAAATATGGTATTTTTGTCAATCTTATGAGCTTTCCAATTTTTATCACTATACTAAGGTAATATGACCTTTATTTTTTAATTTTTTTAGAGCAAGTTATAATCGCCAAAGCTTGTGAGCTTTTATTCCTCAAACTCACTCCATATAAAAAAAAAAAAAAGGCAAAATCCTACAATTTGAGCACTACGGATTTTGCCTTGATTTGGTTTTTGTGGTGTTCAACAACTTGAATATTGCCTTCTATTTGTAATTTGTCATTAAATAAGCAATTTCCATGAAGGAATATAGCTTGGCATCATTGGTTTCTTTCGTTCTTACAAGGTTGGAGGGGGTGGCAGGGAATATGGGTGGGGGCCTTTTTCTTAATGCTTGTATATACAAGTTTAAAAACTTGTACAATAACTTTTTATTAGTTAAAAAAAGCCAAAAAAACTCAAAATTTTTATACGATTATACTAGAATAGTATTTATGCAATGCAGTGATATGCATATTAATTTTAATGTTTTGTTTGATTATTCGTCTCTATCAATTTTATATGGTTTTGAGAAAACAATATTGCCTTACTTGAATAAAATTGAAGTTTGAAAACCCTGGAAAAATTTGAAAAAAATATATATTGAATTATTGATATCAAATTAACGATCTAATTTTTTTTTAAACTTTTTTTAGTTCAATCTCTTATTATAATTTAATTTAGTTTTAGTAATGAAGTAATTTATCTTAGATTTGATATCATAATTTTTTTTCTAATAAAGATAATTTTTAGTTTACTTTTTTATTATAATTTAATTTAGATTTAATAACGAAATAATTTATTTTAGGCTCTATGGTACACTGTTTTTTATAAAGATAATAATTAAGTATTATGTTAGAATCCAATGATTATATTAATTATTTTAGATTTTTTATATTGAAATAATATGTTTATTTTGTATTTTATCATGTTTATCAGTTAGTTATATGAATTCAAATATGTAGTTTTAAAAAGTTATACTCATGCACTATTTACTTGTAATATTGAATTTTAAATAATATGAATCATTAAACAATATTTTTTTATGTAACCTGGATATCCAACCCGCTATGCGAGCCGACTAATCCTAGGGCTACCATCTGCTTTGCAGATAGCTCGGAGTCACCGCATTTGAACCTCCGTGGCCATAAGGGATTATTCCTCCTTGGATTTACATGGGACCTCCAGGTACTTTTGACATTTGAAGTCAAACTCAAACTAATCAGACACCACCCTTGTAGTTATACCTAATTTGGTACTAGGCCCAGTTGAGAATTTTAATTGAGGAATGGATGAATCTCATTGAACCCTAAATCAATATCCCACTTCCAAATTTGAAGAAGTACAATCCATTTGAAATGGAACCAATGAATATTTATTAGATGAAGATTTGAGAATTGATGAAAGAATTGAGATTTAAGAGTTTTCTGAATCCCTGAATCATATAACCGTCTATATAATGGGAATCGACCATCATAGAGAAGGGTAAAGGATCCGGTCATTTGGGATTTCCATCTTCGATATCTTGAATCTAGCTTCATGATCGTTAATCGGCCGGAAAATGGAACATCATGCCTTGAAAATTGGAAGAGTCGAACTTTGAAGAACAAATAGAAATAGACTTGAGTTGTAAGAATGTTGGGTGTTCATTGATTCACGATGCTTTCTCAAGATTTAGATTGGGAGCATCCAATATCCATCACTACCAAGCCTTGGCCATGTTGTTTATAGTTAAAGTTCAGTTGCTCAATTCTCAAATTATTAAACCCAAAACTCGTAATAGATAAAAAGTTGATGCTCTGTGCGACCGCACATACTGCACAGGGCCACGGTCGGGCCTGGTGAGAAGAGGAAGAACAACAATGGCGGTAGTATGTTCCTGTTGGCAGCTGGCGAAGAAGAGTCTTGGGCTTTTAGGGTATACGAAGTGACGAGGGATCTGAGAATGAATCAAAAAAGAGATGAAGTTTGCATCAATATAAAATAATACTAGACAGGTATTCGCACAATGCAGCGAGATACATCTTGAGTTTAATATTTCATTTTATTTTTTATCTCAGTCGATGTTATAATATGGTCTTACGTGATTTTAAAAAAACGATGATGTTTTTATTTTTGAATAAAATATAAATTTGAAGATATTATAAAAATTTGACAAAAATATATTGATATTAGTATCAATTTAACTATTTAAAATTTCTCATTTTTTATGTAACTTCTTAATTCAATTTTTTAATTATAATTTAATTTAAGTTCAATAA